ATTTTTTTTTCCTGAAAGCTTCCTGACGTATAGTGATAGGAAATCAATTTTTGTCTGTTGTAATTGAGGGGGGGTTGATTTATTAATTTGTGTATGTAAGGCATTAGGAAATTAATTATGAATGACTCTGATAATGGGTAAATTTGTAGAATTCCCAAGGTTAGTAGCCAGGAATTTGAAGGTGGATGGATCAAATGGGAGTTTATTTGAACATATCTAAATGTCAAACCCCGGGAAAAAACGAACCATAATTACTTGAGGGGGTATAATTCTTTACATGATTTTACAAAAGGGTACACACACATATGTTCACCTTCACCAACCAAAAAAAGTGACTTCAAGAGGCCAAGGCGCAGGGGTCAAAAATAAAATCCAAGGGGCTGGACCTTTTTTGACTGAATACTTGCGGATGATCTTCAAAGGTTGGCCCCACAGGAAAAAAATCGTATCACCAGGCCAATCATCCACAGATAGGACATGATAGGACGAATTCAAGAATTTTGTGTCAACGCGCGCCCAAATTACAAAATATATGTTTTTTGCTGAAAATACATTTGTCCTTGCAAAAGGGTATAACCACATATCTTCAGCTTCACCAACCAAAAAAAGGTGACTTGAAGAGGCCGAGGCGCAGGTGTCAAAAATAAAATCCAAGGGGCTGGACCTTTTTTTAACTGAATACTTGCGGGATAATCTTCAAAGGCTGACCCCACAGGAAAAAAATCGCATCTTTAGGCCAATTATCCACAGATAGGACATCATGGGACGAATTGAAGGAAGCAAGGGGGAAGACGGACACACCACCCAACAAAGGGAAACAAGAACAAAGACCAGCTGGGAGACAAGCTGGGAGACAAGGCCTCGGGAAGACGCGCGTACCCTCCAAGAAACGGAAACAAGAAGGGAAACAAGCTGGAAGGCGGACACCAAAGGGAACAAGAAGGAAAGACAACCTGGTAAGCTGGGAGACAAGCTGGGAGACAAGCTGGGGGACAAGCTGGGGGACAAGGGGGACAAGTCCTC